TTTCACAAAATGTTAGAAAGTTTTCTTTTTCTGTAGGCCAACCGGTAAGGCATAATGACTTCCACCACACTAATGGACTGGTATTGCGGAATTGTAGTCCAAACATATATTTAGGAAATGGGAGCGAGTTAGATGTTAAGGCCATTACAAACGGCAAAAAATCTTCGTTGCTACTGGCAATAAATGCATATGCTTCTTCTTTCTGCTCGTTGTTTAATCGTTGTCCAAGAAATCTATGATCCAACATATTTGCTGCAAAATGAGCACCTCCTAACGCCATATTTCTGCGCTTGTGAAAATGTTTTTTAACCTCAAGTGGTTGATCTTGTAAATCTTTTTCTAATTTATTCCAAATTTCAACAGCTACGGAAATAGTTGTTATTGCTCTTTGCATTCGATCAAGGGCCACTGCAATTGGTGTTAAGCGGGCTACAAGATCAACAGCGTTCTTTGCGACATGGCTATCGTTTACAATTTTAATAATTTCAATAGCAATATCATCTTTATTGTCTTGGCATATTTGCACAAGTATACCTCTATTATCTAAATATGATTTGATTGCGTCACTCATTGTGTTCCATCGTACCTCCTGGGGCATCACTAGTTTTTTTGTTTTTCCCTGCGCTTGTTTAAATAATGCAGCAGGAACATGCTTATTTCTAAAATATTTTATTACTCTAATTATAACATTTGTAGCTTCTGGAATTTTTAGATCCTGTGCTAGTAAATTTAGCACATGGGCTGAGCATCCATATTGAATAATATCAAAGTCATTAACAAGATCCAGGCGCATTTTTTGTACGTTAGCGGCATTGTCCGTTACAAAACTCCCCACTGTAACTTGAAAATCTTCTTGAGCAATTTTTATAGCTTTTATAGCAAGATCTCTTAAATGTTCTGCAGTATGACGATCTATGCCTGTGTCTACACAATCTATCAAAATAGATTCTCCATTTGAAGTCACTATGCTGCAACAAATAAGTGGTTCATTGTGGATATTGCTCCAACCATCCATTGACATACACATTGTAGAATTTTCAATTTCATTTCTGCAATCCGTTTTAACTTCTCTGTGCACAGTATTCAAAAGAGTATCACCTATTTGTTTTGCAGAGGGGCCTTTGTAACCTGGGCGTAATATGCAGCACATTTTTTTAAACTCTGGGTGATCAGCGTGGTTGAACGGCGTATTTGTGGCATAAAAGTATCGAGCTATTTGCTTGTTAATATTAATTGAATGTTCTTTTGATGTTGCAATAATGTCCAAGTTACTAAAAATAGATAACTGTCTTTGTTTCTTGGCCGACGGTAGAATGTCGCTATTATCAAAAAAAAAAAAAAAATGTCGAGCTATAATTCATATCTATAGGAATAATTTGAGGATTAAAAAATCTAATAAACCCTCGAATAAACCTGTATATATTTTTTAATTACCTTCTTCTTTACTTGTTGACGGTATCGGCTCTATATTTTGTAAAAATTGTCCCGGTTTCTTTGCAGGTTGTAAAATAACGCAATCATCTGAAAAAAAATATCGATCTGTAGTTCAAATTTCTTTAGGAATACGCCCAGGAATAGTATTTATTTTACAATTTATTAAACATAATTTTTCTTTAATTTACCTTCCTCTTCTTTACTTGTTGATGCTATCTATACAGTAATGTTCCTAAAGTCTTTGGCACTTTCTTTAGCACAACTTTGTAAGTGTTTTTTCATTCGTGTAAGTATACCTTGCATTTCTTCTTGACACAGTTTGCACCTTGCCAAATTGCCACTATTTTTCGATGTAATACAGTCAAACTTTGCCCATACTATATCTTTATTCTTTGGCATTTTCTTTAAATATCTGTTATTATCACTACGATATCACACAATCTAATTAAAAGCACAACAAAAAGTACAAATGACGATTCCGCGGCGATTAAGTTAAAATCAGCATCTAAAGATATTCTAAAACGAAGTTGGTGATTCCCCCGAAAATGCTTTGCTCCATCGATCGGTAAATGTAAATACCCGTTTTCAGCTGTTGCATAGGCGTGCTCGTGGTCTTAAATCACGATTAACTACGAAATTTTTACGCAGCGTCGCACATTTCAGTAAATCTATAAATATCCGTGATATATATCATTGCTTATAAATATCGATATATATCGTGATATATATCATGATAAATATCGGTCGAACCCTGTCTGAAACTGAAAACTAATGGGCGTAAACTTTTTCTGGCAGTAATATATCGTCTGTCCGACTCGGGTCTAACTGAACTCTCTAATCTTTTTAATGTTTCAATTCCATTTTTGCTTTCTGAATCAGATTACTTACTCCATTATCACTGGTGATTTTAACATAGATATGTTAGTACCTAATTCTATCCTAAATCTACTTAACGCTTATGACTATGTCAATGTTATTACTGAGCCAACTCGTATTTCTGAAAGTTGTGCCACATTACAAGATCCCATCTTTATTAATTGCAAAGACATTTGTCAAACATCCCCTTTCATAAAAATATTTTTATTTCTTGTAGGGTTTAAAAAAGTTTTAAATTTGTTTTGTCTTAATGTTTGTCCGTTCGTGAAATATTTTAATAATTTTAATTAATAGTTTTAGACCTACTTGTGTTTTGACATTAACTTTTTGTTGCAACTACTGTTTTTATGCATTTCTTAAAAAATACTCGCATACTTGTTTTTTACACCGACCCTGTGATAATCTCTAAGCTTAGTCTTAAATAGATGAGTAATACGGACCATACCTGATGATGAGGATCTGATCTCCTCGAAACCGGTCGTATTAAATTACTCTTGTGAGATCTTAAGGACCACCCTTGTTTTATTTACCTCTTTTTTGATTATAAGAAATATCGAAATTATGCTCTGGCCTCAATTAGGAGGAAAAAGCAGCATTTTTATCCAGTTTGCAGAATGAAAAAAATGAGAAACGTTTATGGAAAGGCCTACACAATATGAATGTTCATTCTATTTTAAAAAATGATCTACCTGTGAACCTACAAAATCCTACAGAAATAAATGATTATTTTACTAGCATTTTTAAAAAATCTGTCAATTGTGTTAACAAGATTCATTATTATGCTAATAATAAATACCTGAACAATACTTTTCATTTTAACTTAGTTAATCAAAATAATATCCGAGATGCAATAAATTCAATCAACTCTACCCAGACAACACACCAAATCCCAGAGATATCCACAGACTATCTTTTTTGGATATCCAATATATCCACTGGATATCAGAAATATTCGGTGGACCTAAAATGGATATCCAAATGTCCGTCTATATCCAGAATATAGAAGATATCCTAATGGATATCCAGCAAAATATCTAATGGGTATCTTCCAGACAATACAAGAAATCCCAGAGATATCTTTAGAATATATTTTGTGGATATTCAATATATCCAATATGGATATCCAACCAATTGTCCGTCTATATCCCAGGATATAGAAGATATTCGAATATTCAGCAACATATTTTATCTTTAGTAGAGGTTCATAAGTAACCAATGATTATTGAATAACGTCGAAAGAAAATAGCAGAATAGCAAAATAGCAAAAAATATTTTCAACACTCTACCTTTGATTTTGCCCACTAAGGAGGAAGTCATCCTTATTAGGACTCTTCAGCAATAAATGGAAATTCTCGATTCCAGTCTCTAATGGAGTCTGATTAGAACACAAATTTCGATCGAACTCAGTTACGGCGGGTCGAGCATGAGTAGATGCGACAGTGGTATCGCCATCTATACTTAGTAAGCAAAATTAAATAACATCTAGTGGATATCCACGATGGTTTGCGTTCGCGCCTAGACTTTGATATATTTAGTGGATGTCCATGGGATATTTAATACACCTTAAAAAAATTAATTTTAAATATCTGAATGGTACTATTAGCCACAATGGTGAGCACAATGGCATAATTTTTTAATAATTTGCTATATAATTACTATTATTTATGGACATTTGCAGGTCTATAAATTACATTTCATGGATATAAAATAGATATCCACCATGGACTGGACATTCAGTGGATATTGGGATGTTCAGTAGATATCCAAAGGATTTGGTGTGCTGTCTGGGACATTTTCCAAAATAATTTAAAGTTTATCAGAATATTCCAAGAATAACGGACTTAATACATGGATTTTTTTAAATAGTTTTTTTTTCTGTTTCTTGCATAAATTGTTCAAGTTTTATTTTTTATTAAAAAAAAAATGTTTTTTTTTTATTTCCTTTATAATTCATTGAATATAATTAAAATAAAATTTTAATTTTTGTCAGCACATACAGGTGTTCTCACCTAGGTGATTGTTATAATATAATTGGTTTCCATTATTGTACTTTATTGTAACTTATTTATTATTATTATTTATTATTATGTCAACTAGGAAGGTTAAGCGTTAAGAATAGCTGTATAGTTAACCTTCGCCTCCCTGGTGCAAATGTATGTATGCATTTGTTTTAATAAAGACATATTATTACTATTAACCCCCCAGGTGAAAAAATGTAATGAAGAATTGAAAAAATTATGTCCATGAAGGGATTTGAACCCACCTATCCATGTTCTACACACACCATTCTTACCAACTGAGCTATCAGGACATGGTTACTAACTTCCCAATTGTTAAGATGAATATAAGATTTCAAATACAACCCCTTTTACAGAACATTTTCTTTTATTTTTGGAGAATTGCTGCCTTTGAGGCATTAGGAGAATATTTAAGGTAGCAACCTGTATATATGTACAAAAATGGAAATACATGCTTTATAACTTTCTAATTTTTCAAAACAGTAGACTTTAACTATTAAAATGATCTGTATAAGAAGCAAGAGACACATAAAGTTTAACAATAAAATGCACAAAACCATTTTTTAAATTATTTTTTATTTTTTTGAAATCTTATCAAGTAGGTACCTACTTAGGTAATTTAATTTTTTTTTTTTTTTTAATGAAAAAAACTATAAATTAACTTTATCATACCTGGTTAAAATCTTTGAATAAAAATTCCTTGTAAATAGCATCTCGATTTTCAAGAACTTTCCAGCCTTCATTCAGCAGCGCTGCTAAAACGGTACCTCTTTCCTCTGTGGTCAGTTTTGTATGCTAAATTGTTAAAATTATTTAGAAAATACACTTCCAATTATTTTTTTTATCTTACCATTTTTCCTTTGATTTTAGGCACAGATTTTGAGAAATCAATCTTTGTCAAGGTCGAATAACTGTGAGTGTTCACAAGAAAGAAGTGACGGAAATTTCGTAATCCAGTCAGTCCAATTCCAGTCAAATTTTGTTTATTAAATCTGCTGGTTATATTTATTAATGAATTGACCAACCTCATGTTAAATTCCTTATCACTACCATCGCATAAATATATAACATCTTTTTATAGATTTTTATTTCATAATTTTAAATTTTTCGGATGCAATTTTATTTAATTTGATTATTTCGATCCGTTGGCTTTTATTTTAAATTACCAAATAATTAACTTGTCTTTTTCTTACATAATATGAATTCATATTCACTTTGTTATTTCAGAATTATATCACTATTTAATTTATAAAATTGATATTTTGAAATTTGTGATCTGTCTACTCAGGACCGTATTTTGATTCTTCTAATTTATGAATTTGTCAAATTATTTGGCCAACTATTTTCTATATTCTATTTTAATGAAAATTAAACAGGCAATAGTTATTTTCATAATGGGTATATCTACATTAGCAAACTGTATATTTTATTATGGATTTATATATTTTTTTACTTATAACATTAGTATCTTTCTTGATAAAAGGCCATTTAAAGAAAATATTTCTGAATACTATAATAATACAAAACTGAAATTATATAAAAGAAGAACCTTTTAAGTCAAAATATTCGCTTCCCATTGGTCGTTTTAAAAAATGTTTCCCAAATCGGAGTACGCCATTTCTCTTCTCTGACTGTAACGAATTTTTCTGTCATTAACAAATCAATTGAAGGAAAAAAATACTGATGAATATGGCTCAAAACGTTAATCCCTTTCTTGAACAACAAACTGATGTTGCTAAACAAAACGATGACTCAAAAAAGGGTTCTAATGATAACCACGCAGTTACAAAAAGGTAAGATTTTTTTGTATACTGCAATTTACAATCTATTAAATACGATGTATTGAGTTAATAATTTATAGTAAAAATTACTTGAGCAAGGCACAGATCCTTGACGGTGCGCTAATATTTATCTTGAAGATCTCTTACTGTATTATTACGGGGCTGGATTGTTCACAATATCTGTCTTGAAAACATTAATAAAGGATATGCCAAAATTTTTGTATATGGTTAGAAACAAACCAGTTTATAAGTTGGGGTTTATTAACTTTCGAGGTGTTTTAATCTGGAAAGATACTTTGATTTTAGTGTTTATTTCTGACTGTATTCCTTTACTTCTCATCTAAACCTTGTCAAATAAAGTTCACCTTATATTTTAATGTAGCTTCTGGTCATTTCCTTTCGCAATTAAATTTATTTGACTAGAATAAGTGGCTTTACATTGTTTGATACAGATTTATGAAGAGTTTGCAGTTACCACATTGCTTTTACATGATTTAAATCTGATTGCTAACTGCTGTAATATCAGCAAATATAATTAGATGCTTTTGTGATAGAACGTAAGTTTTCTGCACTAATCGCATTTGATTTGTTCAGTGTAGCTTCAAATATTTGACACACACTTGAGTGTAGCATATACTTTTGACAAGTATTAAGTGTGACACTAGTTTAACAAATAAAATCCATTATGAGTTATTACTGATTTAATAAAATGTCACAGGCATGATTTTTAAAAAGGATATATTCAGATAAGGGACAAAAAGATAGGAAACGCACATAAGAAGCACATGCTTAACAATGACCAGCTCAAATGCAGTTAACATCTGACCCACTATGTGGTGCTTTCATGGATATCAAACAAATAATGCACAGGAAATTTTAAAAACCTGTTAATAAAGGTTGTAAATATGCACTTTCATGTTCTGGTAAATAAATTTAAACAATGTTAATTATGGTAAATTATTTAATAAAAGAATACTACACTTTCTCTATTATCGATTAATTATTGTAAATCTATTTTTCTAATTATTGAGTGTTATTTTTAACTTAACATTTTTGTTCTTATTTTCCAAACGAGTGGCCAGTGGTGTCTCATTTTTAAAAATGTTGACTGCAAACTCCATAATGGGAATTCATATATTTTTCTTCCTATATCAAATCCTCTCTGACATTTTGAATCAATTTTCTTGCTCTAAAACAAATAAATACTTTGTGACAAAGGTTGGCTACTCTTTGTGTTACTTACATGGCTAGATCTTACTTTGGTAAATTAAAGTATGCCACATTGGGGTTGTTAAATTTATTCATGTGGTATGTGTTACTAATAAAATACGTACTCTGACTCATTATTGTTATATTATTATTGTCCTCCAATTCCACACAAAAACAACCTCAATCATTTCGCTTAGTTAACTTTACAATATAAACCATTCATGAACTCAAAATTTAAAATTCAAATTCAGGATTCTGCGATATACATACAACTAATTGACATTTATTTTTACAAACTTTCCACTGCTGTCCACTTCTACTGTCTGTCTCATTTGTCTACAAACGACGTGTACCTTTAGTTAACATCTGAGACACATGATACCATCATTGCTGCTGTCATGGCGTTTCCTGTCTTTATATTCCTGATCTGTGGATATAATATAGTTGATTGATCAGGTTATACTAGTTTAATTTACACTGACAATACCACACATTTACTAAATATTTCTAATACTTTTCCATAAATGGAAAGAGGTTTATTGGTCTTCATAAAACACCTTCTGATTAAAGTTTTCCAGGTTTTGTCAGCATAATAATTTGTGCTGTAGGTATTACTAAACATCAAAACCAAATTCATTTAAAATTATAGAACATTAATAAGTAATAAATTATTTTTAGGTTACATAATGAGCTCATGACATTAATGATGAGTCCAGATAAAACTATTTCTGCTTTTCCGGATGGTGAGAACTTTTTCAAATGGATAGGAACAATAACAGGGCCCAAAGACACTGTGTATGAGTCTCTTAAATTCAAACTAAGTTTCCAGTTTCCCAACTCTTATCCCTACACAGCTCCTACTGTGAAATTCATCACTCCTTGTTTTCACCCAAATGTTGATACAAGTGGTAACATCTGTCTAGATATTTTAAAGGACAAATGGTCAGCTTTATATGATGTTCGAACCATATTGTTGTCGATTCAAGTTCTTCTTGCAGATCCTAATATTGACAGTCCTTTAAATGCTCTAGCAGCAGCCAAGTGGCAAAAACAGGAGGAATATAAGAAATATGTTATAGACACTTACAAAGAGGCGTGAGGTTTAGTGTATTATATGTAATAAATCTAAATCAATTTTAATTATATTTGTAAATTATTAGTTAAGGATTTTTTTAATAGGATTCAGATTTGAACACAAGCAACAATTTCATATATATAAAAAATACTTGGCATGAAGAAATGGAGATTCATTCATTTTTAAAATGTCTAAAGAGGTGGTCTTACGAGTTAATATTCTAAACTTTTTTTTTTGTTAAAAATCAGCTAATTCCAAAACTGCAAACTTTATAAGAGGTTATAAAAGGGGTGTTATTATTATAATAATTCAAAAATATTCACAAATTTTACTTCATAATTTAAGTTGTTAATTTGATAAGTTTAATAATACCTGCCTATATTGTATTTAACATAAATTTAAATATTTTTGTTTTGTGTTAGTAACTAATAGAAGTAGGCTGTACTGACATGGTCTAAATTAGACTTTACAATTTATTAATACTGTTAATATTCCTAATTACTTTTCCATAGTTTTACAGTCACTATCATGAATCATAATTGTTCTTTGTTTTTCATGATATGATCAGGAAAAAAATTATTTAAGATATTCAAAATTGAGTTTTGTAAATAGTTATATTATTTCTCTTTAAGGCTGCCTCTTACTATAAATGAATGTGATAAGCTGACTGAAAGATTTATCAAATTAAACTATTAAAATTACATTTGCTTTACAAGTAGCTCAAATATTTACTATTTTTATCAAATTAAATTGTACATTATAACAAAATAATTTTCCAATAGTTTTGAATGAGAATATATTAATCCTATCAAATAATGAATTAAATTAGTCATCTCAGCTGGTCTTGTTTCTATGTACTAATGCGTCAGTTGTATTACTGAATTCTCACAAAGATACGTGAGAGAAACGATCTCCAATTAATATTTAGTGCTCCTATTACAGAGACAAATACACATTTCACTTGACTTTCAGTGACTAATTTCATTTATTGTTTGCCAGACTTTAGTAAATGTAACTTTGACTATCAAAATTTTTGTAGGCATTAATTGTTCAACTTTATCAGTTTTTGACGAGTGTTAAACGGGACAAAAATATATATTTATATATTCGTATTTTACATTAAGTGTACTGATCTCATATTATTTAAATTTTCTTTTTGTCTATTGGTACTTATTTAAAATAAAAGACAAAAATTGGTGATTACAGTAAAGTTAAACATACAAGGAAAATGAAATAATATACAATTTTCAAAAAAAAAATCTATCATAAATTTACATTTTTGTGGTTTATATGGTTTTGGGGGAATAATTTTTTGTGTTAAGAACAGGCAAGCGACATAGTCAATGAAGCTGCTCTTTTAGTTAGTGACAAAAATTATTCTAAATTACTACATGACAGTTAAAACTTGCTAACTTTCTTTTTAAAAAATTTTCAAGAACATTTTCTCAAACATTCTGTTCAATTTCTTCAATTTTTTTTATTAATGTTAATTCGAAGCTGTTCAGGTGTTTGAGGGTTATTAGCATAAAATTTGCCTTTCAAAAAACCCCACAAGAAATAATCCAATGGTGTAATAATAATAATAAAACGTCTTTATGGTAACAAATAAGATTACATGTCACATAGTGAGGGGCGAGATTTAGCATAGCTACTCTTACAGTGTAAGGTCACACGACCTAGGCGGACAATTAACCTCAGCTCTTCGAGAAATTATTGAATGCCAAATCTATCCCTTAAAAGATGTAGGATATGGTCCGTTATTAACCGAAATATCGGTTATTCGGTCCAAAACTAACCGCTCTGCGGTTAAATTAGGGACACGGTTACCTGAATATGATGACTCAAACGTCAATTCACGAACCGCTATATTTTTACGGTTACTATTAGATCCAATGTCAATTGGTCACAAAAGTGACGTAAATCTCGACCGTGGTCCAAAAGTAACCAAGAAATTAGTGTTTTTCAAAAAAATTCTGGTTACTAGCGGTTAGTAGTCGGTTAATAACGGACCATACCCTTAGTGTTTTATCCGATGTGTGACAAGTGGCATCGTCTTGCTGGAACCACATGTTCTGGACATCTATATCTTCTAATTCGTTCCACAAATAATCTCTTAATCATTGTCCTGTATCCTCCATTCACAGTTATCGAATTACCCTTCATTCTGGAAAAAATAAAGACTAATAACGCCTTGAGACCAAAAACCACACAGTCACATTTAATGGATACAGTCGGTTTTCCAATATTTCTCTTTGATTTTCTTCACCCCATATTCTGCTGTTGAAATCTCTTCATAAAACTCTCAATAACTTTAACAGATGGTGCTAAATTTCTTTTGAAATTCGTAAGGCATTTTTTTGCAAGTTTCAGCAAAACATTTCCCATTTTGGTAATAAGTTTTTACAATAATTACGGGGTTTTCGATGGACAGTTGTTCCATGTTGACCGAAAAATAAGTATCTGCAAAGTTTTTACTTGACATATGTCACCATAGAAATGCTGTCAATGAAGATTACCAAATATGGCGGCCAATTGAAATCGGAATGTCATATTTGGACACCCAATATAATGAATAAAATAATTTCTTCCTTTTTCGACTTTATCCACTCTCTCCTTAAACTGGTTTATGTTCTGGGCTGAGACTTTATGTTCTTGGAGACCATTCCACAGATATCTGTTTGTAATGAAATTTTTTCTTTGCAGTTTATTACACTTTTATTTGCCTAATTTCTTCGAGTGACCTCTCAAGGTTGTTGATGTGCTGACCTGGAAGATGTTATCACAGCTGTAATATCAGCTAGTCCACTTGTAAGTTTCTATCAAGTCTCCTCTAGTTCTTCTATCCTTTAAACTTAAAAGTTGTAGTTTGGCTAACCAATCACCAATACTCATTGTTTTGTAGGGTTGGTGGTATTTTGTTGACTCCTTTGTACTCTTCCAGCAATTCAATGTGTCTTTAACAAAGTATGGATCCCAAACGGTCTTTGGAGATTCTATCTTTGGTCTTATGTAAGTTGTGTACAGTTTGAGGATCATATCTTCAGAATCGTCTTTCCAAGCTCTTTTGATATGGTAAATGAGATTTTTGACTTTCTTCACTATATTAGCAATGTGGGTTTCCCATTTTGTCTTTAGATATTATTGCAGCAAGATCCTTTTATGTACCGACTGGAGTTATTGCATTTGAATAAAAGTTTGGTAAAGTTTATTGAACTGTAGGAATATCAAATGTTCAACCTAGCACAATAATTTGAAGTCTATATGAGTTCATTCCTATTTAAAATCAGCACTTCAATTTCAAACAGTTCCCCTGAAAAGTAACAAATGTATTTATTCTTTCCCGAAACCATCGGTTATTCTAATTCAAAACTATATGCGTTACTATGCATTTCATTTGCTCCATAAAATAATAGAGTCATGTATATTATTTTTCTTCCATAGTGCGAATTCTCATTTTAGAAAATATGAACACACAAATGCTCTCAAAATATGTATAATTTTATTTATAATATCGGTGCCATATATTGACAATTTTATATGAGTGTGTATAAAACTCTGTATTGGTGTATTTATTTTAGCTGTTTAAAGTAAATAAATTTCTCGAAATAGTTTTTTAATTGTATTTTTTAAAAAACTGGGTGTTCATGTGAAATTGTGTTTTGGTAAAATCAAAAATAATGAGCGTTTTATTTGTTATAATTCACTGGATATTTAAATCTTGCTGGTCGAATTTGGCGTGGAAGTGATAAAATTATTATTGTTAACAGGCAAGCGAAATAGTTGATGAAGCTGCTCTTTTAGTTAGTGGCACAGATAAATTTTACTGTTCCACAATTAAATATTAGTATTATTAATATATTTATATATATTTCACAAAGACACCGCCGAGGCTTACACTTAGAAAACAGTTGTCAAACTGCAAAAAAGTGACTCATTCAATTCCATTACTGCTAAACGATTGTTTATGTTTAGCGTATAGTACCCTTCGAGCAAATATGCTTGAAGACAGCATCGCATAAATATTTTATGCCTGGCATCGCTGTGTGACGAAAACGAAAGGTACTCAATTATGAACAGAGTCTTTCTAAAATTTCTATTTGTAGTAGCCCACGATAGCCCCTAAGAAACGCCGATCAACGTGGACTGGAATATCCAATCGTAAGTCTGTGATTTTGCTTACATTAATAATAAAAATTGCTCCAATATGAAGGTAGCCTTCCTCTTAATCCATCCAACCTTTTGGGCCGAAATCGGTTTCCAGGGTCTACATAGACGAAAACTGATTATTGGGGTCGACGAAGTCTAAAAATCGACCACAATTAATTAACACAAGTTCTTATTTGAATCTTTCACGTTTCTGTAGTTGTTTTAAGTGCGTGTACCAACTTGTTATAAAAATGACTAATATGTTAGTAGGAAGTAACATTATTGTACTTTTAAAAAACTCAACAAGTCTATAAGCATGCACAAGTTCGTACAAGAAAAACTAAGCAAGTCAAGCGTGGACAAGTTCGTGCAAGATAATGAGTTAGAACGTACAAGTCTTTCAGACACGTTTTGACTTGCTCTGTATTTGACACATACGCGATTTAACATGAACGAAATCAAGTCCAAACATGCTCCTAATATTTTACTATATAACAAGCTTGCACTTAGGTTGAAAGTTCATTTGCGTTTTAAAATTCGTTGGAGCTTGATTGATAATACACTCATTTACGTCCAGAGATTACATAGTTAAATAAAGTGAATTCAAATAGAGTGATGGAAAAGAATTTACAAAGTTCTTAGTTACCTACCCAATAAACACAGTTAATCGGCACCGTAACTGGGCCAAAGAAGGCTTGCCGGACTCGGCCCTATATACGGGTGCAGCTTCGGCATATAGGTAGAGCATGTCCGCTCAGCCGAATGTCGGCAGCCCACTACATTGTAGCCGCGTTCATATATCTATATATAGTTCGGCCCGTAAGGATACCTTCCATGTCTGGAAAGCCAAATATGGACCACATGCGGTTTCTACTTCTAAATTACGTCAAATGGTACGATCCACCCGGCTGAGAAGCAACCCCGGTGTGGTTTACTGGGTACGCGTGTTAATGGTGTAACTATTCTGCAGTTTATTAAAAAATAAAAGGGTGAGTACCAAAAAACATTTTAATATTTTTTGAAATTACTAAAGAAAAGTTGTTACCAAAAATTAGAAATGTTAAGTTTTCTTTGTTTTCGTTTTTTACGCAGATTGGTACCTAATACAAATTTTCTATAGGTACTACAGTGACTATATCCAAGTTTATCAATGAGTAAGTTCGTGAGCGTACCTAAAAAACATCGGTAGTTTCTTAAACATATTTTTTGCAAGTTTACTGCGAGTTCCATGATGGCAGACACAAAAAAATGCAGACAAAACAGTTTGGACTACTTGAGATTTAGATTTATTCCATCTCTAACAAATCAACACTTGTCGATGTGTCTTATATGTGAAAAAGTGATGCTATGAAGCCTTCAAAAATTGGAGGGCCACTTTATCAAGAGTACATGCTGACAAAAAAGTAAGCCCTTGTCATTCTTTCAAGCACTTAAAGAAAAACTAGAGAAAAGGCCATCCATAATATCGATGATTGCGTCATCATTTGTGCAAGACGTTGATGGTTAACGAGCGTCCTATAATATACCACTACTAATAGAGTGTAGGGCCTCCATTAAGCTAGGATTTCTGTGAAATTTGAACTGTACAGTCCATCGATTGAGTCCATAACTCAACGTGCGCGCGATTTGACTCACATGTGACCTCTCCTCTGTTCTCTAATGTGAAGTGAAGAGTGAAATGAGCTGATTAAATCTTGCCTTTAGATCGGTATGCGCATTTTGGCCTGGAGGCCATATTGGAGAGTGTAGGGCATCCATAGTGTGCCTTTTGTATTTTTCAAACAAGAGCAAGACATCGGACGACAGGATTGGCTTCAGGAGGGTTAGACCAACTTTTTCAATATCTTTGAATATCGAACTAGGTGACTATAAATATCTGCCTATAGAATGCGATCATCATGTTTTGTGAGGGTATTACATTTTTTTTTTAATTAAATTAAATGACCTACCATAATCCATAAAGATTTTCGATTTCATTGAATATTCAATTAAAGATGTGCTGTTTATATAAAAAAGTCATCTAATTAAAAAATAAATTATAAAAAACCCTGCATACTATAAAAATATATATAATTTATTACACCATTTAATTTTAATGAAGATTAAACAACTAATGAGGCATGATAAAAGCTTTTATTAACAGAAAAATAAATATTTTATATTTCTTATATCTAATAATAAATTAAAATAGTGACTAGGATTTGATAAGAACCAGTAAGAAAATTAATAAAATTACTGTAGAGGCGAGTACAATGATAGCACACATTTTCCTGTTTTTTCTTTGGTAAGCATCTGCTTTCTGAAGTTGTTTAAATCCTTCATGGACTTGTATTGTGGTTTGTTCAATATTGTAATCTATTCGATCTAATACAGTCCCTTGATCCACAACCATTTGACTTAAATCTTTGAAAATAGAATTCAGATCCACTATTGATTTTACAATAGCATTCACTTCTTGTTCTCTTTCTTCTGCAAACCTGAAAGTATTATTAGTTGTAGACAATGATTGGCATTTAAAATGGAATTATAAAAATAAGTGAGAATATACAAGGGTGTTGAACATGAAAACAGCTGTTTGACTTCAACAGCGATAGCCATCCCTCCCCCTCACAAGCTCTGCTTCTGGGGTTCCGTCTTAAGAGAGGGTGAAATGTAGGCAGATAATAATTGTAGTTCAAATAACATAACCAAAGATGTATAGGAAGTTAATAAACCTTGATGAACCCTAGTAGACCAATTATTCTACTCAAAAGAACTATGGAAGTAAATAGACGTATAAATAGATTGGACTACAGAGAGTTATACAGGGTGGCGACCGGCCGTATCTCAGAATATCTTGGAGTAAAATTTTTTTGAAAGAAATCCAAAAACAGGTCGATTTTTATTTCCTATAATATCCTCAACTGTCATACGTCAATCTAATTAATACAATTTAAATAGGGAAAAAACCAAGTAGACATATCGTCGGAAAGGAAATTTTATGGGGAATTCAGCAATATGACTGTTCATTGCGTTCCTTTTAATTTTAGCTCCCTCTAGCAGGATAAAAAATTGGTAAAGTGTGACACTTCATTTGAAAGCCAATTTTATTAATAATTTAATACATTACGTAGTATTATGTTAACTAAAACAAAAATTAACTAAAAAGGGAAAAAAGAACTCATTATTACTAAATTTATTTTATTGCAAGTGCAATATGGAGATATCTAGGTTAATGATATGTGGTGCATTGGATTACTAATAAAATTAGCTTTCAAATAAAGTGTCACATTTTATGTTATGTTGGGAATGGGGTGTTAATACACTGTGACCTAAAAGATCTATTGTGCCCCCTTCCAATCCTATTTTCTCAAGGAAGTGTAGGATTTGAAGTGGCTTCAAGTTAGATAAATCTCTCTCTTTTATTTGATATCCTCCTAGATATAGTACCCTTGGATTCTGGAGTGCTACACATTCAGTTAGGATGTGAATGGAGGTTTCGTCCTCCTTCTCACAGAAACTGCACTCACTATCCTCTACTACTCTCAGTTTACTTAGGTTTCCTTTTAGTCGGCAATGCCTGGTAAAGGTCCCTGTTACAATATGTAGCCTGTTCTTGCTCAAGCAGATGCAGGCTTCCGATCTTTTCTGGTTATATTCACCAAGAAGTATCTTGGCCTGTCTCAATCCCAAGAGATTGTTCCAATTATCGGTTCTTCTACTGCCCAATTCTTTTTTAATCTCTCCTAATATTATGTTACTGCTGATACCGCAGAACGGCTCAGGTCCTACAAAGGGTGTTTAAGGCCCTTTCCTTGCAAGACTATCTGCAATCTCGTTACCCTGTACCCCGTTATGTCCCGAGACCCAAGCGAAAGAGTAACTCAGCGTTCTGGTGGCTGCTTGACTATCGGACATGATTATAATCTCTTGTCTATGATAGTTTCTCTCGATGTTAAACTGGATACACTTCTATTTTTTAGGATTAATAGGAATACCTCGCCGTTATTCGGATTACCCAGATACTTTTATATTATGAAATGTTGTTTCTTCAATTGGATCAATAATTTCTTTAATTAGAGTACTTCTATTATTTATTTTTTGAGAAGCTTTTTCAGTTCAACGAAAAAGCCTCTATGGCGTGAATTTCGGCCTGGAAGATGCTTGGATATTTTCCCAAGCTTTCGGAGTGCTTGGTTCTCGGCCCATACACTCCTATACAGTTCTTTCTATGGTTTTGGAACCGTCCGTATATCACTGAATAGCACGTCTTTCGGTTGCAAGCGCGATGGATTCTTGGCTCCATTCTTTCTTGCAGCCCAGCTCTATGGTTTTGAAGTTTTTCACAAAACTGTACCTTTTTTCATTTCATCCTGGGCATGTCCCAGGTAACTTTAGTCCTGAAGCAAGTAGACTTTCGTCTGATTACTCCGTTCCTGATCATTCTATATCGTGTCCTTTTTGCCACATTCTCTGTCATCAAATGTAGAGGGGTGAGATTTAAGATCACCTCCATTGTGGCCGTAGGACAGGTTCTCATTGCACCAGTAATGCAAACACAGGCTAGTCTTTGTACTTTTGAGATATTAGCTCTCGTAGTAGCTGTAGCTAAACTAGTTCTGTTGCTCCAGGATATAGCCCCGTAAGTGATGATTGGTCTCACTAATGCAGTATACATCCATCGCAGTATGTTTGGGTTACATCCCCAGTGTCACACTTTACCATAGGTAATAATGTTTTATCCCGCTAGAGGGCGGTAAAATTAAAAGTAAAGCAATGAAGTCATATTGCTAAATTCCCCTAAAATTATCTTTCCGGCGGTGTGTCATACTAATATTTTCCCTATTTAAATTGTATTGGTTAGATTGACGTAGGGGAGAGGAATATATGACAGTTGAGGATATTATAGAAAGGTGTCCCCATTGAAATAAAAATCGACCTGTTTTTGAGTTACTTGTAAAAAAAATCTACTCCAAGATATTCTGAGATACGGCCGGGCGCCACCATTAATGAATCAGCCTGTATATCCACTGAATACATTTTACAGAAATTACATCTTAAAAATACGTGTTGAACATGTTCTATTCAATAGATAACAATGTGTCATATTTTGATGATAACAGTAGTTAAATCATATATTAAATTTATAAAAGAAAGGTGTGCCACAGGGTTTTATATTGGGATCTTTACATTCTATATGTAAGAAGTTAATTAAATGTTAATGCAATATGCTGATGACACCTTATCGATTTTCAGTGCACCAACCAACAACGAACAACTACTAGACTAATTTTGTTTACAAAAATAGAATTGCAAACATTCACGGTGTTGTCCACGTGTCAAATTATTATGAGATAATATGGGAGTCTTGTTACAAGGATTGTTTATTCGGTATGAGTTATTTAAATAGCATCTAACAGTAAAATCATCGTCTTCCATTCCAGTTGTACGACAGGGGGTTGCGGGAGGGTTGCAATTCCAGTAAAAAAATTATAAAAAAAAATCATTTTCGCATGGATGAAACTTGGTGTACACGTTGATATGAACATAAAAGTATTAAAAAATATCTTCTTCCACCTGTCTTGTACAACAAACTGCATCTTCCACCAACATAAATAGGCGTAAAAAAAAATAAGAAAAAAAATTATAGTCGCAAAGGTGAAACCAAGTGTTATGCTTATTTTTTATAGTAAGAAAAATAAAAATAATAGTCTTCCACCAATAAAACACAATGAAGGTCGTCTTCCAAGCTGATAATTAAAGGTGTTCTCGACATGTATCAAAACCCTCTGAACACATACATTTAGAAATATTTTATATTTCTAATAAATCTTATTTGACTATAATTGATTCTTTTTCACGATATGGTCAGGCTAATCTCCTAGATAGTATAACAGAGATATCAGTGTCGTAAAAAAACTCTTAGAAATTATTTCACATAACGGAATACCACAAAAAATTACTACCGGTAGTGAAACACAATTAAAAAATTTAGATTTTTGTAAACTACACCATATCCAATTACATATCACTACCGCAAAAAAATAGTAATTCAAATTCCCTAGTGGAACGGTTTCATTCAAGTCTATTAGAATATTATAGATGTTTACAAGAAGAAAACAAACATTTCACACCAGATCCACTAATTAAAAATTCTGTATTTTGTACACATTCAGTGACAAAGTTCACTCCATTTGAAATAATTAAAGAACACATTGATAATCCAAATCCCTTTGATTTAGACCAGAGGTTCCCAAACTCTTTTGTTTCATAGACCACTTTCAAAATTTTGCTAGATCCAGTGGACCCGTTGTAGCTACATCACTACCAATTTCTAATTCTCGAAAAAAAAGTCAAGATTAGATCTATGGAAACTTGCGTTGTGGCTGAGTTTTAACGACGAATTAACAGTTTTCGAGAAAAAAAAAATATTAGAATTGATTGCTTGATAGGGTTAATTATTTGATAATAAAGTCGACTAAACAAATTTTCAATTAAATTTTAATTGATTGTGCCGTGAGTGGATGTCAAAAAAGCAAAGTTGGCCAAACGAAAAAGTGACTCCATCTAATTTTACTTTTTTGAAATCTACAGTGACTCACAGCACAGGAACCAATCAATTCTCACAAATTTTATTTAGAAAACGTCCCATTCGGAGTGGTAAAAAGAAATATATTTTATTTCCTTGTGTTGTATTTATTTAAATTTAAATATATAAATTATTACACTATTAATTATTATTGTTATAACCGTCGTAATATAATTAAAATTAAACACTTATAACGTAATGTAATTTCTACAATGGTAATTACAAAAATAATTTTAATGAGAGGGATGTACTTGATGGATTGACAGCAAATTATCAATATTTGGCTTGAGTTTTGTAAGGAATAACCATAAATCTCCCCTTTCTGTGATATTCAATCTGCTCCTTTTTTTGTTAATAAGTTTGTCACTCAAATTTTTCGCTACTAGATGTTGTCGGTGGATAACACAGTGAATCGCAATTACCTCTGGTATAATTCTTTTAAGATGGCTTATAAACCCACGATATCGCCCGACCATGGCAGGAGCTCCATCTGTTGCCACCGAAATAACGTTTGTGAATGGAATCGATTTTTCTTTAAAAAAATCACTTAAAACATTAAATATTGATTCACCTTTAGTGCCCGTCTTCAAAGTTTTCGCAAATAGTAGCTCTTCATGAATTTCTTCGCCCATAACAAATCGAACATATTTATGCTAATAATAATGCTTCATTGCCAGGTAAAGTTGACTCGTCCATTTGAATAGAAAAATGAGTTGTTCGTAGATAATCACACAAGAAACTTTCAACATCAGAGCTCATTTCATCAATACGTCTTTGTACAGTGTTGTTACTCAAAGAAATTCTTTTGAGTATGTCAAATGAAGATTTGTGCAGAACAGTTTTTAAAACCTCTTCAACAGCAGGTAAAATTAACTGTTCTCCAATGGTGTGCGGTTTTCCAGATTTTGC